TAAACTGTAATTAATATAAAACATAAAAAAAATCATGAATAAATAAAAAAGAATTCTGTGCAATCTCCCCAGGCCCATATTTATTGCAGTTCCATTCACTAAATCAGTGAAGAAACCATCCTAGTTTTTAACAACACATGACTGGGTAACAAAAAGCTGGTTCATATATATATATATGATATATGATATATGTGTGTGTGTGTTTATTTATAAATGAACCATTGAAATGACAAAAATTTCAGGAAAATGGATGAACTTAGAATGTATAATATTAAGCAAGGTCACACAAATGTCAGAAAGACAAAAAAATGCAAAAACATACTGTCTCTCATATGTGGATCATAGCCTCCATGTGCATTCCCTAGAAAAAGGATCAGGGCTGTATCTGACATGATCTCTGAGCATGCTTTTTGATCACTTCTGTCTGGCATGGCTGCCTTGCTAGGATACTGTGAAAGAGAAAGAACACAGTCCTTATGAGAGTGGACATGCTGGGGTGGGTTTGTGGAAAGAGGGTTCCCCCCTTTTCTGAGGGGCAGAGGAGGAAGGTAGGGGGGATGAGGGAGGAACAGATGGGAAGGAGTGTGAGAAGAGGGAGCGGGCAACGACTGAGATGTAAAGTGAATAACCAAATAAAAATAAAATAACTCTATCACTGTTGATTAATAAACATACTTTTTAAATTTAAAATTTTTAAATGATTGAATGTGTCAAATATTGCTGATAGGTTAAGAAAATGAGGAAGACTAAATAGCCATCACATTGAGCAATACGATCACTGCTGAAAATGGACTGCTTTAGACTGCTTTTGTGTTATGATGAAATCTTAATAGGATTTCAGTTGAGAGTGCTGTAGTTTGAGGCCAGAAACATAATACTGTGAATATTTTTGTTGTTGCTGGCAATGTGTATAACACATTGAATGGAGTCCAGAAGATAACCGTGGAATGATCCCCAGAAATGCTTTCATTCCTTTGAGATGGGATCCTATTGGTCTAGAAATCTTCCTGATTCTGGACTCCCCAGCCTGTCTCAGAGATGCCCTCAGGCCAGTTTCTCTTCTCTCTGCATGAAAGATTTCATCTTACACCTGTCAGAATGGCTAAGATCAAAAATTCAAGTAACAACACATGCTGTAGAGGATGTGGATAAAGGGGGACACTCCTTCATTGCTGGTAGAAGTGAAAACTTACATCACTATAAAAATCAATCTGAAAGTTTCTCAGAAAACTGGGAATAGTTCTACATCAAGATCCAGCTATACAACTCCTTGGTATATACCCAAAAGATACTCAACCATACAACAAAGACATTTGCTCAATTATGTTCATAGTAGCTGTATTCATCATAGCCAGAATCTGAAAAACCTAGATGTCTCTCAACCGAAGAATGGATAAAGAATCTATGGTCATTTCAGAGACAGTCCTTGCTCCCCCCCAGGGGGTGCAGCCTTGCCAGGCCACAAAGGAAGACAATGCAGCCAGTCCTGATGAGACCTGATAGGCTAGGGTCAGATAAAAGGGTAGGAGGACCTCCCCTATCAGTGGGCTAGGGGAGGGGCATAGAGAAGAGGGAGGAAGGTTGGGACTGGAAGGAGATGAGGGAGGGGGCTACAACTAGGTTACAAAATAAATAAATTGTAATAGTTAATAAATGAATTTTTAAAAATCTGTGGTCGATTTATACAATGGAATACTACTCAGCTATTAAAAACAAGGAAATCATGAAATTTGCAGACACATAGATGAATTAAAAAAGACCACCCTAAGTGTGGTAATCCAGACTCAGAAAGACACACAAGCTATGTATTTACTTATAAGTGGATATTAATCATCTAGTGTAGGATATCCATGCTACAATTCACAGACCCAAAGACGCTAAGTAGCAAGGGCCCAAGGGAGGATGCATGAATCTCACTGAGAACGGTAAATAGTGACAGAGGAAACAGGATAGGAGAGGGAGAACTCAGGAAAATGAGATTGGTGACCTGATGTGAGGAGAGTTAGGGAGGGGGGAAAAGGACAGAGGGCACCAAGACAGAAGAAAAACTGTGGTCTACCATGATTTTTGTTGCATTTATTTAACATACAGAATAGTACAATTGTGTCAGGCTGTTGTGTAGCATTATTCTCAGTATGAATCTATCTTTGAGGGAAATACTTTAGGACAAAGATGTTTTAAAGGGAAGTGAACTTTCCATACTGTGGGTAAGCTCAGTTTGAAACATAAATTAAAAATAATTTCAGAAGTCCCTGAAAATGACCTGACTCACTAGTCCCTTCCCTCCTCTAGCATGAGTAAGTTGAAAGCTCTTCTGCTGCCCAGAAGTAAAGAGCAGCTAAACAGCTTGGAAGAAGCAGAGCCCAGCCCAGATGCATAGAATAAGCACGGATTACCTGAGCTACCTGGAAAAGATCTATAACCTATTGGGCTACCTGAAGTTTGCCTGTTTTAATGATGTCATCCATGATGGGGTGGAGTCGGTGATACTGCTTTGAGGTATTTCTGTTCTTCTAAGTAATCTCCCATATATATTCTTGCTAATACCACCAATAAAATTCATTGTTTCATCAAGTTGGACGTTAGTGGTATTCATATTTTGGTCTGCCATCAGTTTCCTATCTGGTGTGAACAGATATTTGAACTTGAATGAAGTCAACAAGAAAATGAGTAGGCAGTAGCAAAGAAGCAAAGAAACTAAGGCCTGGGACACATACAGTATTAGATTAGGAAGAGAAGGAATTTGCGAGAAAAGAGAATCAGTCATATACTGAGGCAGAAGTATTGTCTTCTAGAGGTGAAATATGTATTATAATTTAAAGGAAAAAAAGGCCAGAATTGGTCTATCTTTGTACCAAATCAAAATATATACTGAATTAAAATACTATAGGGTTTAAAAGCAAGATGAAATGCACAGTCCTAGATCTGATACTCTTTGACTAGGGCCAAAGAATTGAGTTTGGCATATTCACTAGAATTTACTGAAAATCTGAAAATTCTCAAGCACAGTGGTAGATGCATAGCATTTGGGACCCAGAGGCAGAAGTACCTCAAGTTTGAGAGCTGAATTACATAGTAATACCCTGTCTCAAAAAAATAAACACAAAGCTTCACATCAAAAACATGATATAGCCAAGCAGTGGTGGTGCTGCCTTTAATCCCAGCACTTGGGAGGCAGAGGCAGGTGGATCATTGTGAGTTGGAGGCAAGCTTGGCTTACAGAGCAAGCTCCAGGGCAGCCAAGGCTACACAGAGAATCCCTGTATAGAAAAAAAAAAGACAAAAATAAAAAAAAAGTACATACACACATACACAAGGACACTATTCATGTAAAAACATGCATATATGGGGGGGAAGCAAAAAAGATTAAGGTTTGTGGTGAACTCTCAATGGGAGTGAATTGCTGTATTTTCCACAACCTATATGCATTGTGTCTTTAATAAAATATGTGAAAATATCAATTAAAGGACAAAATGAGTCACTAAATTAAATTTTGCTGGTTTTAAAGACTGACAGTTGACTCCAGAATAGATAAAAATGTTACTGGTGGCCTTGACAAGACCTGTTTATATTTGAGTAGGAAGAATAAAACTCAGCCAGAAGAAATTGGTAGGTCCTCAAAATGCTGAACAGTTACTGCTGTGGCTCAGAACTTACACAACTAAGAAAATACTCAAGAAAATGAAAACTTACACATACTCAAGAAAATGAAAACTTAGGTTCACAGAAAAGCTTGTACGCATCCATAGTTTTAGTATTCCATGATGAAAATAATCCAAATGTGGACATCTGATGGATAAATAAACAAGAACTAGTTCATTTTAATCTATAAGTTCTACAATCAACTATGTTAAAATGTTGGAAATGTCTGCATTAAGACTTTTTCTTATGTTCTAAACAAAACAATTCAACAACCTATATTAAGTAATTTATCTAGAAATATTTAAAAGACACAGAAGAGTTTGTGGTGAGCTACATATACATCATTTTATGTATAAGATTTAGGCATATATGAATTTTGATATCCTTGTTGTATTTGAGAACAAATCTTCCGGATACTGAGATTCCATACAATGGAATATTGTTGAGTAATAAAAAACAATGCATGTTATAATATAAATAAATCTTGCATATATTTGACCAAGTGTAAAACAATTACAAAAGGAAATATACTCTATAATGCCAATGTACAGGAAATGCTCAAAAATGGCAATTTCCACGGAAGCATAGGTGAAGATAAAGAATGAAGTGACAGCTAATGGTTATAGGATTTATATGGGGGATGTGGTAAGCATTCTGAAATTATTCATGCTTTTACTCTTCTGAGTATAACAGGGTGAGTTTTATGGTATGCAGATTATACTTCAATAAAATTATTACTACAAAAAGCAGAAGACTCAATTTGATGTATTTGTTTTGCTCCTATTTAAATCTTCTATTTATGGTTCTCTTTTGCTGTCCTTACATTTGAATCTTATTTCCAGAAATTTGTTAATAATTTTTATCTTGTTAGTCTTGCTTTTTTCTTCTCCATTTGTTCACTACACTCTCAAACTATCCCAAATCAAAGGTTAATGAGAAGAAATGGATGCTTCTAAAGAAATACTATACTTTGAGGTAAGTCTTACATGTAACTATGATACAGATCTACCATTCAGATATCTATGAAACACATGTATGTACATATACCAAAAAAGTAAAGAAGCTGCTATTAAAGCAACATATAATTTAAAAATATAGTTTAACTTACGTGTATGTGTGTCTAAGTGAGTTCATGATATATGTATGTAGGTGTTAGAGGTCAGAAGAAGGCGTTGGTTCCTCTGGAACTCATGTCAGGTGTTTATGAGCCACCTGACATGGGAGCTGGAAAATGAACTTAGGTCCTTTGGGAAAACAGTAAGTGCTCTTAACTGCTGAGTCATATCTCCATAATTACATCTTTAATAGACATAATTTGTAGGCCAAAAATAAAATATATTATGAACCAGCCTAAATTTCAAACCTTTTTTTTTTTTTTATTAGGAATACATTGATATTGTGGACATGCAAAAAAAACACATGCCCTTCGTTGACAAATATTTGAATACATTTTCACAATAAATTTTCTTGATGAAATAAAAATATCAACAACAGCAAATAGGTTGTATAATTTTTTATGGGTAAGAATACCACGACAGTCCACATAGAAATTCAATGGTAAAGTTATGCTTACAGCTGACTTAGTATCTTGAATTGTAGAATTTCTGTATACAATAATCTTAAGAGTAAGACCTGAGTAATTTATTTGAAGATATAACATTAACAGAAACCTTGTCCAAAATACTCAAACTTCAGGAATTTCATTTCACAGAAAAATACCAAAACTTTTCTTCCAAAACAAGTCAGTCAAAAGGTTTCATGTAAATTATTGACAAGTCTTATGACTTAACCTTTTGGTACTCTTTAAACTTCTTAGACAAAGATATGTTCAGAGTGCCTTTACAAGAAACACAGCAATCCCTTATAACCTTCAGTTGCCTTTTCTGTTTTCAGTTATCCATAAAAAACTGTTGTCTAAAAATCAATAAGAAACTCCAGAAAGAAGAAATTCATAACTTTTAAATTATACGTCATTCTGAGTAGTATGACAAACTTTTCATAGTGTCCTGTTGAGGATATCAGTTATCCTCTTTGAATCATTGTATCCACACTGTATATAGTACTTGCATGTTGAATTCATCTAAGTAGACGTTGTTTCGTTGTCAACAAATTTCATGACTTTACAGTGGTTGTATACAAGATTTGGTACCATCTCCAGTTTCAGGTATCCACTGGGGATCTTAACTCTATCCATGGCAGTTAAAATAGAACTACTGTAGTATTAAAAGTCTTTAAATCCTAGACATTTTATTTTTTTTGGTGCATCTTCTTACGTATTTCTTCAAGAGCTGCTTCTTTCTCTCTTAAAATCTGCTTAAGTCTTCTTATTTTTTCATCTCTGATGGTTTCTTCTAATTCTGGTGGTGTCATTGGAAAAATATCTTCAGTACAGGTTTTACTAAAATAATTACTTTGTTCAAAAGATATACTTGAACTTAATGTCCCTTTTTCTAGCTTCTCATGGGAGCAGTATTCTGCCTCAGTTCTCTTGTCTTCCCTGGTTGTACTATGGCTTGTGACAATGTTATGTTGCAATACATCCGATGTTGGTAGAATACTATTAAGAACCTGGGAACTAGCAACATCAGCTCCATTCACGCCTGTGGCACTAGCACTCTCAGTTTTTCTCCTTTTTGTGTAATCCATCTTCTTAATGGCTTCTGCTTTTCTTTTCTTAGAAAACCTCTGTTGCAGTGTTGAGAAAGAAAAAAATATTGCTATCCCACATACTAACAAAGTTGGCAGACAAATAATATAAATTAAATTAGATTCCACAAATCTTACTGGGAAAAACTATAGTAAAAACTGAAGCCTGTTAAGTATTATCAATTGAAAGGTTAATCATAGTCCTGGAGAACAGGCTGGTTTATTTGTACTTATTATTATTTGCTTAAATCAAGTATTAAGAGGCAATGTTGAACTATCACCGAAATGAAACAATACCTGAGAAGTACTTATATAATTGATTTAAGTTTTTCATTTGATTTGCAGAGTAGGCACAAGTAGAAACTTTTCCTTAAGAAAGTTTATCTGAAAGGGTTGAGAATACTAGATTATAATGTTCATAAGCATAATTATATTCATGTGCATATTGACTATATATGCTGCTTAAAATGTATCAAGTGTTAATACTTTAATGACTATCAGTATGCTCACGCTTTCCCCTCAAACTTATCTCCTTTAGGTAATTCTTTAAATTAAGATAACTAGTTGAAATGCTTTTGATTACTTTCTTACATTACAAAAGAAAAAAAAAAACAAGGTGAGTGAACATACTTAGAGCAACTCAAATTAACTGAGGGTATTTTTTTTTTTATTTGTGTGTAAGACTCATCATTGTATAATATGAGATGTTTGCAAATTTGGCAAAAGTCACCACTCAATCTAACAAATGCCAAGTAAAAGATAAATATAACCATGTATCTTTGTCATACCTACTAAAAAGGTACACAGTTACAAAAAACCATTACCTGTTTTCTTTCTTCTTTCTTTATCAGAAACTTTGCATTTTTGTTAGAACTACTCTGCTCCAAACTGCTAAAGGAATCAAAACCTTTTCTAGAGCCCAGATGGTCAGGAATTCGAGTAAGACATACTCTCAAATCTTTAGTGAGACCAAATATCTTTTTAAATTCAGCATCGTTCTTCAGATGTGATGCCTTAATGTTGCTTTCTTGAGAATATTTCTTGTTACTTCTTTCTTGAGTACCTTTTTTTAATATTGATGCCATCTCATACTGGGTCTGAAATCAAAAGAAAACACAAACGATATTGCTAATTTCTTGGGTTACGACGTCAGACTAGCAATTAAACAATTATCTAATCTTCCACAACAGAAATCATGCTTTAAACGATTTGTATTACATTATTTTTACCGTCCATTCAAAATTGAAATTACATCAATACAAACTTAATATAGCCACACAATTACTCTTTAATTTATTGTACAGAAAAGGAACAAAGGGTCTATTCCCAAGTAAATTAGGTGAAACTATATATGACAACTTTAAAATGATCTAGGCTGGGCATGATACCCTGTAAACCAGGCACTCAGTGGGCAGAGGCAGGAGGATGGTGAATTCAAGGACAGGTAAGTTACACATTAAGACACTAAAAAACAAAGAAAAAAAAAAGAAATTTACAAAGCAGTATCTAAAGACTAGTTTTCTAGAGAAGTCTAATATCTTCAATCCATCTTGCTTTTATTAGAATTTACCTCGTCTTTAAAATTCAATGCTTTCTGTGCTTAAGGGGACAGCAACTAACATTATTAAGCAGACATCTAAACAAGCAAGAAAAAAAGTGGCTACGCCTGTATTTTGAGAAGAGAATTGAGGCTATAGGTATGTTATGCAATTAGAGAAGGCTGAAAAGAAACTCACCTGTCTTAAAAAAACCAAAAACTCCTATTAACCATTCGTGTAAGGTTAAAGCCTGAACAGTCAACAACATGAATAAAAATCCTATTTGACCGAAACGTTCTGAAGACTTCTAGTTCACCCTTTTCATGGTACTTAAAAAAAAAGGATTTTTTCCCTCAAGACCATCACCAAAAACAAAGCATGAAAAAAAATTTAAAGCCCCACTCTAAAATTTTGTCTTTAAACTGTCTCAGATATAAAAAAATTATTCATATACAAATAATTAAATGTATATGCAATATATACATTCATGCATATTCACACAATATTACTAATCTTTGAAACCAATCACTCTCCAACTCTTCTGAACATTGTTCTGTGATTTTTGTCTTACAGATTTGGCAAGCTAAATAATGAAAGATCATGCTTAGGCTCTACCAACTGAACTCTTCATATATTTATTCAGGTGAAAGCTTTAAGTAAGCATGTGTGAGGGGATATGTGTGTAGGAGATAGGTATAAATTTTGAGAATTAAAATATTTTCCAAATAGATTTATAAATGAGCACCCTAACATGGGAAAATTACCTGTGATTCTTGGTCTCTGAAAACACACTGTTGAGAAGTGACAGTTGCTGCATCAACAGAGGAACACATTTTCTCTATGCTCTGGATGACATTTCCTTTTCTGGGGGCATTATGTCCTGTCCTAAATCCAGCTGGAAAAACTGGGTTTGTAAATCCAGTATTAATCTGTTTAAGGCAGTTAGTGAACTGGTTCATAGTATGTAGGTTTGTCACAGAAAAAGATGGTTTCTCCACTTTTTCATTCTTCTCTGCTCTTAGATTAGCCACGGAAGAAGTCTGGGAATTTGAAAGTGATTTTGTCTCCAACTGGAAAGATTTAGTTTTACCCGAAACACTATTTACAACCTCTTTGATTATTTCTGTGTCTAGACTTGAACCTACTACCTGTGATGAATCTTTTCTTAGTGAAGTATCAGAAGAAACAGAATTCTTTTGGTCATTTTGTGATGGCAGACCACGTGTCCCCTTTTTAGTCAACAGATAGACTTTCTTTTTCAACATTATCAAAGCATTCTCTTTAATAGGCACACTAATGGAGGGTGTCCCGCTAGAACTGATAGTATTCAACATAGGTGTATCTATGGTATTATATCCCAAATCTTTTCTACCCACAAAAGTATTTAGAATCTTTGATGACACATTACTTGAAGACTTAACAGGAACAAGGGATGGAAGATGTAGATTCTTTTGAAAAATCCATTTCACTGGAGCAGCTTGAGACTGCTGACCGCCTTCTAACTGTGTCTCTGTAGCAACATTTGGTGGAATTTGTGAGGTATTTAATATCACTGGTTTGGGGTAAATGTTCTGATAGTTCTTGGTAACTCTATTTTTCACTGAATTTACAGGAGAAACATAAGTAATTGTTGGTATTTGAACTGTGGTTGAGGTACTCGTGGTTCCTGAGGTACTTGTGGTTGCAGTCCCAAGTATCTTTTGTTGAACTGAAGGAGGCAAGGATGATGCAGGTACAGATTTCACTTGAGCATGGGCTGGAATCTGTGAATGATGCCCAGAAGGCAATATTGAAGAATTCACATTCACCTGGAGACTTGGGGTATTAACCATAAAATAAGATGAATCATTTTGTGTTGAGGGAGGAATAGCAAATGTATGCACGGTGAGTCCATCAATTTTCGCACCATGACTCTCAACTTTAGAAACTGGTGGCAAAGAAGTAACTCTACCTTTTCCTGATGTATCTACTGTAGGAACATATTTTGTAGTGTTGGCTGGCTGAAAAACGGGCAATTGAACTGATGCACTTGTGGAAGAGCTGGAAATGTGACTTTGAAAAGTAACTTGGACTGGTTTTCCTGCATTCCCTTTCAAAGCATGAGATATGACTTGAGATTGGACTAACGGGTTAAGATTTCCAGAAGATTTAGGAATTGGAAGTAAATGCAGAAGATTTTTTCCATCTGCGCCAATCGTAGGAACTACTTGGTACATGCAGCCTGAAACACTTAAAAGAACATTTTGAGTAAATAAATACAACATACTACAAGGTATATATTTTATTTTAAAACAAGTATTTGCAATTACTTTAGATACTAAAATTTATTAACAGTATGTAATTTTGAGTTTGTTAAGACATCATGGAATAGACTTTCAGGGGAAGATAAAGATATAATCAACTTTGGTTCATCTTTCACAAGCAGGTTATGACATCTTAACATTTATTCCAAAATGAAATTAAATAACATTCCAGAATTTGTATTCAAACATAATGCTTTTAGAAAAGATTCTATACATTGTTATCACTCTCTTTAAAAAAAAAAATTACTCATTTATTACAATTTACTCGCTTTGTATGTTTGCTGCAGCCCCCTCCCTAGTCTCCTCACAGTCCCACCCACCTTCCCTCTTCTCCCCTATTCCCTTTCCCTAGTCCTATGATAGGGGAGGACCTCCTCCTCCTCTATCTGAGCCTAGCCTATTAGGTCTCATCAAGGCTGGCTGTACTCCAGGGAGAAGGTGATCAAAGAGCCGACCACTGTTTCATGTCAGAAACAGCCCCTGTACTCTTTACTAGGGAATCTACTTGGAAACTGAGCAGCCTATGAGCTTCCTCTGAACAGGGAGTTTAGGTCCTCTCCATGCATGGTCATTGGTTGGAGTATTGATCTCTGCAGGGGCCCTTTGGGTCCAGGCATTTTGGCTGTTATTCCCATTCTCTTCTCCTTTAATTCCTTTCTATTAACTTCCTTTACTTTTATAGAGCAGTTCTTTTATTCCAACTCTAATTGTGCTACTCTATTTTTCTCCCTGTCTCCAATTTGTTCTATCTTCTTCCCATGACAATTTCTACTGCCACCTTTTTTCTCTTGTTTGAGATCTCTCATGTGGTGGTATTTCAATTTGTCATGTTTTTATACTGTACACTTCAAAGACATGCTCATGTAGCAAGAATTTCCTTCTTTGATTGTTGTTTCCAAGTATATGAGGTTTCATGTTCCACAAGTCCTTGATACAGCAATTATTTCTAATGACTTACTACCAAACTTATGAAGGGGCAGAAAGATGTGAAGGGGACAGGAGCTCCATAAGGAGACCAATGGAGCCAATAAATCTTGGTCCAGGCATCCCTAGAGAGACTAATGCATCAACCAAGGACCATGCATGGAGAGGAACTAGAGCCCCTGCTTAGATGTTGCCCATGGGCAGCTCAGTCTCCCTTGGACTGCCCTAGTGAGGGGAGGTGAGGGACCACCTTCCCCTGGTGAGATGGCCTAACTAGGCCACAGAGAAAGAGGATCCAGGCAGTCCTGATGAGACCTGAAAGGCTAGGGTCAGATAATAGGGGAGGAGGGCCTCCCCTATCAGTGGACTAGGGGAGGGACATAGGAAGGGAGGGTGGGAGTGGGAGAAGATGAGGGAAGGGGCTTCAGCCAGGATACAAAGTGAATAAATTTTAGTAAATAATTTTAAACTAGTCCATTGCAATTTCCATTATAATGAGCTATTTTTAATACAAAATTGCCAGTTTTACAGAAGTCAAAATACGTTAATCTCTGTGCAATTTATTTTTGTAGGTTACTTTATACAGATTCATCAAATTATTTATACCTAAAATCACCTTTCAGAACCTAGAAAGTATAGTGCTGTCAAGGAATACAGGGCAATCATATCCTTCTATCTAGGTGTTTCTCTCCTACATAACACTATTTGGAGCTTAAGTCTCAACAGAAATGATACCTCCTAAAATATGCATTCTTTAGCCTACTTAACTATTGCTGTCTTTCCTTCATAATAAAATTATACCAGTTAATTTCCTTCATGCCACATATTCTTATTATATATCTATGTATATGTGTCTACAGACTGTCCTTCAAGTCTAAAAACATAACTGTGGACTCCATGTTCTATTGACTCAATATGTTCTTTGATGACTTTTAAGAAAAGATGAAGAAAAACTTAAAAGACAAACATTAATTCTCAAGTGTAGAGTTTTGTTTTACAACCTACAGGTGTAATTTTAAAATTAATTATAATGAAAAAAAATCACACCAAAATTGTATGTATCCTCATTACAACCTGAATAACATTATCTTCAGAAATTTTGAATTATTCATCTAGGTATGAAAATGTATACTAACTTTTAGTAAACTTAAAAAAGAGAAGAAAAGTCTCTTAGAAAAATCTTGATTCTTGCTTTCAGGTGTGAGGACCCACCTGACTACCTCTGCACAAAGTACACTGAAAACTCAACATCAATTTATTCAGCATTAAATAAAAATGTACTCAGTGTGGTACCATCTGCATGTAATTTTAGCACTTGGAAGGTGGAAGCAATTGGAGATGATTCTGAGCAACATCGCAATACCAAGTCTCAAAACCAGCCAAGTACTGAGTTTTATGGTTCAAACACTTTTTTTTTACGGCTTTGTTAGGGGGAAAGTGTCAATAAATTATAGCCTGTAGGTTAAATCTAACCCATTCTGTTTTTACGTTAACTTACAGCTATATATAATTTTCATACTTTAAATTGATAAAAAAAAAACACTTCAAAAATAGTTTTATCATTACACAGTGGCTGCAGCAGCAACAGAGCCGAATAGTTACAAGAAAGATGGAATGGTTCTCAAAGCCTAAATATTTGCTATCAGAACCCATAAACAACACATTTGCTAAATCCTCCACTAAAACTAGGGACATTAACACAGACAGGTAATTATTATGAAAATAAATGATGTATTTAAAGAGATTTTTAAAAAATGCATGCACCTGCACCTTTCCTAAAATATTCTTATTCCAAGACATTCAACCATCTTTGACAACTCACCCTAGCAAAATGAATAGCAATCTTCATTTTGAACTTTTCCTTAGACAGTTTAAGCACTACCTGATTCTATTTCACCAACAGAATATTTCTGTAGCATTTTTTGGGATACAAGACATATATGTTACCTCTCCTCTGACACTTTACTCAGAATCATGTGAGCTACTGAAACTCAACATGGCCAGAATGTCTTCCCTTCCACTCT